CCCCCCAGTTCATAGCTATACAATAAAGATATAACAAATGATTTGTTATGCAATAAAATAGCAGTAAATTATACAATCAAAACTATATACTTGTCTTATTCTTTCTCAATTCTTTTTATTTTTATAATTTGGCCGAAGCTTTCTTTCTGAATGGCTAATAAGTAATAATGTGGCCTATATTGATCCAAATCTTTGGATGAGCTGATTAAGTCTATACTTTTTCGTATGAATAGTTATTTCGCGGATAATTGACGCTTGTAAAAATTGATGAATACGTATAAATAAAGATACTACATTATTAATTGGGATTATCCTGTAAAATTTTCCATAATTGTAAAACTTACTTCCAGGGAAGCTATTTGTATCTTACAGGAAACCCGCGTAGTTCGGCATTTGAGTTGAGATTGCCATATATCTGTGAGCAATATCTTCCTCTTTCCGCTACTTTCCCTAACTTTTTTCTACTTTTTCTAGAGTTTAAGCAACTCTCCACTATCTCTCCCGTTGACCTCCATTGATTTTTCAAAGCACTATGTTATAGTATTCAAATAGTACATTTCAGCATATATATTTGGCGAAATTGTGTATATCCCTTCTTCTTCTTCTTCTTATAACTGGCATTTAATTTGCACAGCTTAAAGCTGCGTCTTTTAACTTCCCATGGCTTTATTAACTTCTGGTACTAAGAGAAAAAAATCGTTAGCATGGACTTGCCTAATACCTTGTGCAATCCTGCTTTCCGCTGCTTTCTTTATAGGAAGCGCCTTCCTTGTCACTGAATGTAAAGAGGTAATTAAGGCAGAGACTACTCCTCTTCATTCCATAATTCAGATAACTCTTGTTTTTTGTTCTTACATGCTTAATATTCCCTGTATTTTTGCTAATATATTCCACACTTTATTAACTTCTTTTGGTTTTCAAACTTTACTAGACGTTGAGTTAATTTGTGCCCTTTCTTCGTACAGAAAATTTTAGGATGGCAATTGATTGAATCCTTCAGAATGACAAAACCTAGTACGTGTGAGGTTTGTCTATCAGACCATCTCTTTTACTTTTTCTCTTTTTCTCTTTTTCTGAATAAATAAATAAAATTACTCTAACTTAGTTGGTAGAAAAATGTGTAATTTTGTCGTTTTTATACTTTTATTTTAATTGTATTATAGGATGAGTGCAGGCCTGAAGGAAGCGAGAGACTGCCACGAGGTATTGTGGCTAAGACCTCTGATTTAGAAATGCATCCGCTTTGGGGTCCCCCCAATAAAAAGGTATGTAATTATTCCTTTGTTAACAGATTCTAATGACGGCCTTACACTTAAGGGGGTAATGTTCTTTTTCCTTGCAGAAATCAAAATCACCAATGAGCTTACTAGCTATGGCAGTTGGAATAAAGCAGAAACAGAATGTCAATGAAATTGTTAAGAAGGTGAGAGACAATAATTTATCCGCACTTACACAATTCTCATCCCAGCCTTTGACTAAAACAACCTTTCTATATTATCTCACTTGCAGTTTCCAGAGACTGATTTTGTCATTATGCTTTTTCATTATGATGGTATCGTGGATGAATGGAAAGATCTAGAATGGAGTAGTACTGCTATTCACATCTCTGCTATTAATCAAACTAAATGGTATGAGTTCTTACATCCAGAGTAGGACTGGTATAATCTGGCAAGATACGTGCTCAGTGTTGGTTCCAGAATTTAGACACTCGGTTTTGAATTGATAGGCTGTGTTCTGAAACGTAAACCTAACTCTTCCGCTCACACACACACACATATATAGCCTTCGACTCTAAAACACTAAGTTCTACCAATCTTATGAATCCATTATTGGATCCGCCACTGGATGTATTTGTAAAAGCATTAGCTGACTCCTTATTCTGTTGTTATCTTAGGTGGTTTGCCAAGAGGTTCTTACACCCAGATGTTGTTGCAGAGTATGCTTACATATTCCTGTGGGATGAAGATCTTGGAGTTGAAAACTTCAATGCTGGACGGTAATTATCACTGATGTTGGGCTAAACCTATAAAAGATGCAATATATCCTCGTAATATGCAACCTATAAAAGATCATACTAAAAATTTGTAGCAGTATGACTTCAATGAGCTCTAAAAGGCAATCCCTCTATTTTATTTGTCAGAAGGTAATAGCATTGATGTTACACTGAAAAAATATTCACCTGGATCTTTACTGCAGATATTTATCAATAGTAAAAGAAGAGGGTCTTCAGATATCACAGCCAGCAATTGATGCAGATATATCAGAAATTCATCACCAACTTACAGCACGAGAAAAGGGGTCAAGAGTGCACAGGTATTACTCTATTCCGAGCCTGCTGAAGGCTGTCATGAGGCTCATGATCAGTGACAGATTCATCAATAATAAGTTGATCTTCTTGAAAAAAGCTGTCTTGTAAATATTGCTAATTCTAAAAACTCTTATGGTTGAAATAGGAGGGCGATAAACATAAAGGGTCCAGGAAGGAGGTGCTACGAAGACAGTCCTGAACCTCCATGCACTGGGTAAAATTATTACCAGTTATAGGCAGAAAGAACTATGTTTCAATTATATATCTTTTCTATCCATCTCAAAATCCTAGATTTCTAAGAAAAAAGTAATGCACATGCAGGTGGGTGGAAATGATGGCTCCTGTTTTCTCAAGGGCATCCTGGCGTTGTTCGTGGTACATAATTCAGGTATGGTTTCAGATCTTAGTAAAACTCGTAGACTAACAGTATACCAGATTTCTTACTAGGTGTATTAAATTTGCTAAGTTTGACCTTCCTTCTGCTTACAGAATGACTTCGTTCATGCATGGGGGGTGGACTTTCAGCTTGGATATTGTGCACAGGTTTCATATCCCAGCAACAAACAGTTATTTTTCTCTTTAAAAATTATTGTCTAGAGTCTTCATTTTATCAATTCAGAAAAATCTAATTTCTTGTTTGATCTGTTATTATTTCTGATAGGGGAACAGAACCGCAAACGTTGGGGTTGTTGACTCAGAATATTTAGTTCACTATGGTCTTCCGACACTAGGTGGTACAGAAAATGAGGTACCTCTGGCAAAATAACGAGGATTGAACTTACATTGGACAATTGAATAGGAGATCAAGTGTCTATCTTCTGTTTTTTCAGTAAATCCTAACTATTGTCTTTCTATGCAGAAGAGTAGTTTAGCACAAGAGATAACTCTTCAAAAGGAAAGCTTGTCGAACGAAGGGCAAACAGTATGTAGCAAAAGTAACTAGCTTTCAACAATCAACTGCTTCAATAGCATGAAATTAACTAAAATATAATTGCAGGGACTGCCGGAATCTCATCCGTCTGATGCAAGAAATGCTGTAAGTTCCATTAGATTTTATATAAAAGAACCTCTTAGTAGCTTGCCCTTGCATTGCCAGTGTCTTTCAGACATCTTAGTGTATCTACACCACATACACGATGCAATATGACAATCTTCTGACGATGAATTACATATGAAGCTAAACACAACAACTTACTAGTATCTCCAAGTTACCTTCCATGTTATGATAAACCCAGAGTAATTTTGCAGGTGCGGAAACAATCTCTTGTCGAATTAGAAAGATTCAAGAATAGATGGAAAAAGGCTGTCAGAGAAGACCAATGTTGGGTCGATCCCTTTCAGCAGCCTGTGAAACAAAAAAGTGACTGAAGGGTTGCATCGTCAAACTTAAGACTGAAGATATACAAATTACAGTTATTCCATCTTGAAGATGAATTTGGAAGGCTGAGATGATTCTCTACGGACTTCAAGTGCTCATGATATACAGAGGCATATTGTCAATTTCCATAAGCTCCAATTATGTTAAAAACACATAGAATAGTTCAGAGTTCAGACAGTCAGATTAACTTATGATATCCACCCTGAGGTCCATTCTCTATCTGAAGCAATTACTGAAAATACAACGCCGTTAAGCAGCTTAAATGAAATTTTTACCATTTTCTGGTGTTATCTATGCAGCATGCCAGCATCACAATATTAAATATACATCATGTTGTACAAATAATAAACACGCTGAAATATAAATATAAATAGATGGCCTAACCATTTAATACAGAGATTAGATCTTATCACAATCACAAAATGCTGCTTCTTTTTCCAACAATTCCAGCAATGAGTTGACCTAATTCTTCACCACTGTCCTCCTGAACGTGATGTCCTGACTGCATGATCCATAAAATAAATGCACATTGAAATACAAGAAAGATATAAAGAATATTTAGTTGTATGAATCTTCTTATAAGCAACGCTCTTTCAAATGATCAGAGCCCCCACTTTAATTTACCGAGTTTCAAAACACATATTCAAGAATATTGGATTCATTCCCAAAAGAGTGCTCTGCATTTCTAACATTATCCTCCACAAGAAAAGAGCTATGAAATAGTGTCATTACCATAGGAAGTTCAACCAACCGATGCTTTGACTCTTTGCAGAAATCTTCTACACCATCAAAGCTTAACCAGCGGTCTCTTTGTCCCCAGCAAACTGTTGTTTGGACTGTCCAGTTATTGTCCATAAGTATTGCTCTTGAGTCCTCAACATAGCCCTTCCAATCAGAGAGCACCAAAGGAGGTCTAAGATCAATATATCCATAAATAACGAGGAAGAGAGATTAAAGTAACTGAATTAGACGCATATTCGGTTTTCTTCTTTTAACAGACTCAGTAGGAAGAAGACAATTTGAATGGCTTTTCATATTTGTTTCATGGAGTTTCCGTTGACAAATAGAACCCCTCAACTATCAAGCACATTGCTTTTACCATTTGGATGGAGAAATTCGGACTCAAGTTTGAATAATAAATATCAATTTTTTATCTCCAACATCAAAGATATCTTTCCGACTTCCTCTGGTACTAGCTTATTTCACCTTTGCATCAGCAATGGCAGATCTTGGAGGATCAGGCTCTTTGAACTTCACAGTCTAGATTAGACAGAGGGCCCTTAGCCAACTGCCTTGGTTGGAAAAGAACAAAAGAAGAAAGCAACAATCGTAATCTTCACAGACACCAGAATAGGGAGGGAAAGAAGAATAAAAG